TTTTGTCAAAATTTAGCAAATGGTGATTGTTGACAAAGTTCCTCACAACAATTGAACTACAATGAAAAGGTGAGAGGCATCTAAAAACTGAGGATTGTAGTATAGATAAAAATTTAGAGATGGTTATTTTTTACTACAAATTGATATAATTCTGTTATCAAAATACATACATAGATCAATGAAAGCCTACCCTGAACAGCCAGCGTCAGTAAGTCAATCACCCTAAATTCGAGTTAGGTATATACCTCATCTTAAATAACAGTGAAATTGTTTGTCACCTAAAGGATTTGGCAAAGTTTTATTTCTCTCTTCTGTGAGTCTTATCTAATATAAAATTATTATTTTGTTTTTACTTCTCAGAAGAGCTATGTATTTCCTGATGTAGTGGACATGCTCAGAAAACACATGGTCAAATAATCATACATCAAAGATTAATTGTTCAGTGGCATAAAAATAATTTCTTTAAAAAGATTGTTTTATGTTCAAATTAACTAATAAAAGACACTGAAATAAAGCAACAATAAAATAATCTCAAACACACAGCCCTTGCTAAATATAAGAATTGTAGTCTCCATGATCATGCATGATAGAAAATGACCACTATATTTTCTTCAACTTACCTCAGAGCTTCTCTGCAAAAGTAGTGGTTTATCTTTATGTTGGCTTTTACTATTCTTTCCAGCAGAATGGCGCTCCTCTTTTGGTTCATTGGTATTAACTTCCTTTATAAACTTATGAGCAACATCCAGTACACTGGATAATATTTGAGATTTTGCCTATTAAGTAAGGAACAAACTATGCTTTATTAAATCTAACATATCAGCTTAAGTTATATACACCAAACTACATTTTCATGTTTCATTATTCTGCCTTATTTTAATATTTAAATATCTAAATTGATAGATCAATCAGTAAATAGAGAAAACTGACACCTATTGAGGGACTTATTTGAGCTCACACTAGTTAAATATCATAAAAAAAAATCATTTAATCTTCATGTCAACTCAAAAGCATCAATAACTGCATCTGTTTTAGAGATAAGGAAATTAAGACACTAAAAGTTTTTAAAAATTGTCCTTGACCACATGGTGAGTGCTGGAAAAGGAAAACCCCAAATATATAATCCTAACAATGCGTAACCTGCCCATTCTGTCAACTCCAAATGAATAGGTGTATTTTCTGCACAGTATAGCTAAAACAAACAAACAAAAAAAAATAAATACTAGTCTAGAGGGAGCTCAAAAGAAAAAAACAGTAATGTGTATTTCATGACACTAAAACATCTTCAAAATACTGCATAGTCAAAAGTGCACATCAAAAAGTGCCTAGCTATAGTTCCCTAGTGAAACCCTAGTTGTTTTCCATGGCATGTTGTGCATTTGCTCATGAATTTCACTTAATAGGAAGGGCTTCCTTCCTATATTTCATTGCTTGGCAGCCTCCTGTTTCTTTTGGATTTATCCCAACCTACTCCTAAAAAAAGCATTTTCTGCCCCCTTCCCCTGGAGGTTTGTACATTCAACCCTTTGTGCATTCTTTATGACCTGAATGGATCTCTACCAGCACTTACTACATTAATGTTACATAACTTTTGGTGACTATCTATCTAATCATTGCACACAAGCACACAGAAGGAAAATGTAATATATTTTAAAATCTTTGTGTAGTTAATATAGTACCTAAAAAATAACAAATGGTTAAAAAAAAAACCCAAACCCTTGTTGGGTTACAACTGAAGAATCAAAATAAATGATTGAGAAAAAGAGAAGTCACTTTTCTCTGAATGGTCTCATACCAACTACCCTGGTTTGCCAAGGACACCACAGGATTCCTTGTTCCATCTGGAATTGAACCACACAAACCCCAGGGAGAAGATGGAGGCCTAGCAGAAACTCTGAGAACTTGGTTTTTGAAGTCATACATTAGGCTTTGCATCTTAGCAAAAATCTACAAGGCAGGGTAAAACAGTGAACAGAAATAATTATTTTGCTTTCTCCCTGAGAAATACTGCTATTTTAAATTTTATATCTTGTGACCTATTTAAATAGCTAAGATTACACAGAAACATTCCTATTATGACCTTTTATAACTTAGCTAAAATTAATTGCAAGCTGATTCTGGAATCAGCTAGGTAGACATCAAATTAATTGTTATCTCACATTGAATTACTAAATTACTTATGAAAAAGAAACTAGGGTGACATACAAATATGTTGCTATCCATATATAAATCTATGGTATCTAAGTTTTCCCAAAGATCAGTCTAAAAATTTCCTAGCTTTAGAGTGGTTAAATTACTAGTTTTTATTTTACATTACAAATATCAAGTTCAATGTCATGGATATTACATAAAATTACAAATATGTAAAGCACCCATGTTTATATAAGTAACGCAAAACAAAGGTTTTTCTGTCCTAAAATAAATCTCAGTATAAGTGCCTTCCAACAATTTGTAAAATGAACTGTCATAAAACACTTTTATGCAGCATGTTGAGACACTGAAATTGATAAGAAGAAATAATTTATCTTTAGTTCAATTTACTGCCAGAAAGTACTTTGAATAATTGATAAAATATGTTATAACTGAATATCTTAAAATAAGGATATTTAGTAACACTAAAATGCAAATAAGCTTTCTTGTATCTTTTCTTTCTCTTCTAGAATACCTTATATTGAAATATCACTTTTCTCTGTTGTCAGATCATATATGTATATTTTATTTTTCTTATTCTTAAAATAGTCATATAAGGAAATGGAATAGATACTATAATCAATTATATAAACAAGACAACTGAAATGTAGAAAGCTAATGTCAAATTTAAATGCATACAGATTTTGGAACTTGAGTTAGAACTAGAACTTCCTTCTGACTTAACCACTTTTATCTACTGAACTACATTAACAGAGAAAATGTAATTTTAATCTCTTCAAATATAGAAAAATGAAAAATTGTATCTCTAAGATATGTGAATAGTGTTATTTATTTTATTTATATATCTATTATATGTATATGTAATATTACATATACATGCAGCCATATGTGTGTGTGTGCATTTGTGTACTATATGTAATTTTACATGCAGGTGTCTATACAGAGATTAGTTTGTTTAGTTTTTATTTCAATTGGTTAATTTCATGTTTTACCAAGTACTAGAGAATCAAAGGGATGAAGTAATACAGATTCTCATTTTACTCATCTCCTACATAATCTACACAGTGGTGGTGGTGGGGTGAAATAACTGCTGAAAACAGAGGAAAATAATAGAACAAACTATATCTTAACTAAGAAGTGACAAATTTAACAGAATTATTCATATTGGAAATTCATCACAATACTTTAAGATACAATTTATTATACTTAATACTTCTTAGATTTGTGAAAAATATTTAGATGCCCCACGTCACATAAATGATTTGTTATTTCCTTTTCTCTAGAGTCAATCTCCCACTCATTCCAAAGAAGAATCAACAAGTTACGGATACACACCACATCATTTTGCCTACATAGTTTCTCCCTTGAATCTGGTGGAGATGTATTTTAATTAAAACTAATAGAATATGAGAGTAATGGACTTCATTTCCAATGAAAAGAAGATATGAGACATTTGTACCTCTCTCTAACTTTTCATCAGGAAATATTCATGTTAAAACTTCAAGCTGGGTAAAAAAAAAATAAACTTTTGCTTTTTTGAAACTACTACTTGTTCTTTTGTATGTTTTTTTGTATTGCAGCAAGTATTACTTAGTATACAGCCTCCTATTTAAAAACTTCTCCTACATTAATATTTTGTTTCAGCTACAAAAAAAAAAAAGTCTGTATTTTTATTTTGATCTATTTGGCTTTATTACTTTCATGTTTGACCAAACACTAGCAAATTATTTCCATAACTAAACTAAAAAGATTTCTCATTCTGTTTGGAATGAATGGCTTTTCTACATATTACAGTTCTAATTGTAGATTCAGGCTCATTTCAAATGCTGTACAATTCCAATGTATGTCCAATGAGATTATAAAAATGACCTGAAAGTACAAAAAGTTTATTCTCTCTGTCAACCACGTTCTCCTCCAGTTGACTGAAGCAAAAATTAATGAATCTTCTGTGACCTTTTAACGCTTTGCTTATACCTAGAATAGAGCTTTGCTCCCCAAATTTTGATCCATGTCAGTAGCAGTACCATCCCCTAAAAATTTACTAAACCTGCAAAATTTCAGATCCCACTCAAACCCACTGAATCAAAATTTTCAATTCAACATGTAACTTATATATACAGTAAGGATTGAAGATCGCTGTGTTAGAACACCTAGTAGTTAGTTGTATAAAAATTGGTTGAATAAATATGACTTCCCTTTTATGATTATGAATTCCTTGAGAGAAGGGACCATATTTTATTCTGCCTTACTATTTTACATTGTCTACCTTCAGTTTTCCTCCCTGAAAGTTCTGTCCTTCACACTTTGCAACTAGAACATTACTTGATGCTAGCACAATACTTGAGAAATGTTGACTGAATCAAATTTTACTGACTGACTGAGATGAAATAATGTCTCAAAATTCCATTTGAACATTCCTTATTTGTGTCAAGCTACTTAAGTCAATGTCAATACAACCAAAATCAATGGAACTATTAAGGACAGCACAAAAAGGAAAATAATTTGCCTCTCTAAATTTAAGTGTCTACACTTGGATAACTAAAGCAATATCTATACTTCAGATTTGTGAAAACAACTCTACATCTGTATAAAGAAACCTAGCCGAGAAATGTCATACTATAGTGCATTCAGATTAGTGCTATCCTTTTATCTATATCAAAACATACTACTACCCTGCATGTAAGAGAAACAGATTAAATAGCCAAAAAATAAAATTCCTACCAAAACCAAGAGACAAAGGTAGGATTTAATTCTATGGTATAGTGAAGAGCTAAATGTATAATTCTATCCCCATAAGATAAATAGTAAACTGGATAGAATTGTTCAAAAATGATTTTAGATTTTTGGAATCAATCAAAACAATCTTTAGCTACATTGAATAAAGAACTCTGAATTCAGTTTCTCTAAAACTAATAAAAAACAATCAATATCTGGGGATTCTTTGCATGAGGATGCTCCTATTATTCTACCTCCTTTTCCACATTTGTGAACATTAAGGTAAGAATGACCTTGTTGCCAGCAATCTCACCTCTAGGTTTCTACCCAAAGGACACAAATACATTGATCAAAAGGACACCTGAACCCTCATGTTTATTTCTGCTCTATTTACAATAGGTAAGAATGTGGAATCAATGCAAATGCCCCAAAAAATAGAAGACTGGATTAAAAAAGATGTGGTACATATACACAATGGAATATTACTCAGCAGTCAAAAAGATAAACA